CTCTCTCTCTCTCTCTCTCTCTCTCTCTGAGTGAGGCAGGGGCCCGTCTGCGCAAACGATTAAATCCTCTTGCTTGTTGCATCTCCTGGTCTGAGGACTGAGTTATTGGGGTGCGGCCTCCCGTGGACGTTGGGTAACCCAGCCTGGGGGGTCCTACAAAAACAATTATCACAGACATAGATACCATAATCACATGAAATCTAGGTGCACCAAAGAGTAGAAGACAGAAAGTTTGTATCTCTAGTTTTTTAATATTTAAAAGACTTAGTGGTATAAAAGAAAGGGTTAAGTTTGTCACATAGATTTGAAGTAGCATTTTTTTTCTTTTGAGAGCCAAATAACTATTTAAGAACCCTATCAATACCTCACAAGAAACATATGGACAAAGCAAAGTAACTTGGCAAGGCAGATTTTACATAAATATGCTTAAAGGAATCTGTTTAAAGAGAAAAGAGCTCAGCTGTTCTAGACCATCAGGTTCAGGATGCATCACGGTCTTTTCTTGAACAAAAGACTTACAAGGCATGGTGGGATTAAAAGATTAGAATTTCTTGGGCCAGGCGTGGTGGCACACGCCTTTAATCCCAGCACTCGGGAGGCAGAGGCAGGCAGATCTCTGTGAGTTCAAGGCCAGCCTGGTCTACATAGTGAATTCCAAGACAGCTGGGGCTACAGGGAGACCCTATCTCAAAAAGACCCCCCCCAAAAAAAGATTATAATTTCTTGTCATAAACCAAGTTTTACAGGCTTTTGAAAGAAGAGACTAATATTTAATGTTTCTTACAGAGGGAGATGCCTTTATATATGAAACCCAACAAAGTTATGAGGAGACAGGAAGGACAAAAAGGAAACATTAACACTTTAGGTTAAGAATAAATAAAATAAAAATGGTACTGAAAGTAATCCCATTTAGAAACAGGTTAAAATAATGTTAATTTAAACTCCTATTGTGGCATTACTTCCCTAGTCTGATATAAAAATGTTAGACCTTGTTAGAAGACAATAGAAATGATTAAAATCAGTTGTTTTTTTATGATCTGATCAAGAATCCAAGATGAAAACCAAAACAAAAATTACAAGAGGATTAGGACTTGTGATTGAACATCTGCAGTTTGTAGCCTTGAAAGATGGTATGGGGAGAAAGAGTGTCCCCTAAAGGTTTTTTATTTTTTAGTTATAGAAGAATTTACCAAAACAGAAGCTTTAGGACAGAGCCATGATGTAATGTATCTTTAGAGCCTGCATGGAGGTCAGATATGTCATGCGGGGTGGAAAGCTTTAGAGAAAACTAAAGTACAAGATGACGGGCAACCTAAAGCATTAATGGGAGCACGTTAAAATACGGATATAAAGAAGAAATTTTCTCTGAAAAATTTAGAAAAGCAGGTAGACTTACAGAGGCATAATAAACATTTGTAGTTGAGTTTGGAAGCAGAACAAGAGTTATAGGCGGGGGAGAGAGGCAAAGGATCTGGAGCATTTTTCCTGTGTAGGGAATCCATAACTAGTTAGAGGGAGGAGGAGAGATAGCCTACATTAAAGAATGGAAGAAAAGAGACCTAAAATTGGATAGAACGATATCAGAAATCATCCCAAAGTCAGGAAGAAAGACACTGGAAGAGCACAAAGACAGGGAGAACCTTCCAAGCCCATGGCAAAGGAAGGGAGAAAGAAGGAGTCCCACTGGGCCCAGCGGGAAGCTCCAGGAGCTCCCGAGCCATCTGTTTTAGTGGAGAGAGAGGGAGAAGAGAGGGAGGTGGAAGAGGGAGAGAGAGCAGAGATCCAGATCTCTGTAGGAGAGTACTAACCCAAACTCTGTCAGAGGGTGAGGACTGCAGATGAACTCATAATCTTGGGCCTGATGTGGTGAGTGGTGGGAGCTGGCATAGGCAAGCTGGTTACAGGAGCGCATGGTCAGTAGCATGGTTTGGTAAGAGGGAACCGGGTCATAAGTAACCCAGTCATTCCTCTTCCCAGGTTTGGCACCATGTTAGATGAAAGCCGGGCAGGGAATAGCCACAGGAAACACAGGAGGACTCCAGTAAAGTAAAGATTATTTCTTAGGATTGCTGGTGGCTGGCAGCTCAGCTGGGGAGAGAAAGACAACCAGCAGCCTTCTGACTACTGAGGAAGTTTTTATAGGGGGCTTGGGGAATGTGGAAGGTGGCAAAAATAATCTTTACAGTTTCAAGGGAAGTAGCTTGAACTGAGACAGCTCTTACATCAGTGGGTCTGGGTGCAGGGACCTGTTTACCTTCCAAAATTACCTGGGGAACAGCTTTGTGCTGAGACAGCTCTAAATGTGGCTGCCTGGCCAGTTCCTGTTTTGCAGGGGGGCCCTCATGGCCTGTCTTGTGAGGCTTTTTTACACTGGAAGAGGATCATCTGCAGACCTGGACTCTAACACTGCCGACATCAAGAACTGATCAATTCTAGGTTCTAGATTTTCTCAGACTTAGAAATTAACCTTGGCTGTGTGGTAAAACTTCTGAGTAAGGCAGAAACTGGCTTGCTCTCCTCTCTCTCTCTCTCTTCTCTGTGTGTGTGTGTACATGATCAAGGTTCTTTATCTCTTTTTTTTTCCTTTTAGGGCTGAGGGATAGAACCCAAGGCCTTGTACTTGCTAGGCAGGTCTTATATCACTAAGCTAAATCCACAACTGCTCAGAGTTCTTTTAATCTGGAGGCTTTTGTTTGATTTGGGGTTTTTCTGGGGTTTTTTTTTAGGTTTTTGTGGGGAGGCTTTTTAAGACAGGGTTTCCCTATAGCCCCAGCTGGCCTGGAACTCACTATGTAGTCCAGGTTGGCCTTGAACTCACTATGTAGACCAGGCTAGCCTTGAACTCAAGAGATCTGCCTGTCTCTGCCTCCCGAGTGCTGGGATTAAAGGCGTGCACCACCATGCCCAGCAGGGTTTTTTTTTTAATCTACTTATTATTTTGCATGTGTATATGTTTGTGTACTAACAGTATACATGTGGTCAGAAAACAACCTGCCCACCGGGTAGGTCCTGGGGATTGAACTCAGGTTGTCAGTGTTGGCAGCAGGCACCTTTACCCACTGAGATATCTTACCTGCCCTTGTTTTGCTTTTTTTTTTGTATATATATTTTTATTTATTGTTTTTGTTTTATATGAGTGTATTGCCTGCATGTATGTAAATGCACCCATGTCGTGCAGTGCCCGCAGAGGTCAGAAGAGGGCGTTGGATCCTTTAGAACTGGAGTTACAGACAGTTGTTAGTTGCCATGTGGGTGCTGGGAATTGAACCCAGGTCTTCTGCAAGAGCAGCCAGTGCTCTTAACTGCTGAGCCAGCTCTCCAGCCCCTATCTTGCTTTTTCAAGTTGCTTAAGCACCTTTCTTCCAGTGGCTTCTCAATGAGTTATTCCAACACACAAAATAAGTCACCTAAGACCCAGATACCCCCTGTAAGTTGATAACCTCTCAATTGACAACCCCTAGCCCGGCCAATCAAGCCAGAGCAGGGAAGATGCAGGATGAAGGGGGAAGGAGCAGAAGAAAGGAACAGGGCAGCTTAAATAACAGGGGTCAGTTGAGTGGTCGGGCAGCGCAGCTCAAGTGTGGGCTGCCTGCCGGTCTGATGAGTGCTGGCGGGAAAGCAGGCTCCCAGGGCTGGGCCCTGTGCTGGCCAGTGCCTCACCTGGGCTTTGTACCCGGCTGGCGCCTCAGGCTCAACGCAGGTGGGAGGGATTGCTTGTTTTCCTTTCGCTTTCTCCCGCAGGGAACCTGACACCTAGGGCCAAAACTACAGCTCCCACCGAGCAGCAAGGCAGGAGGAAGAAGGGCACCACTGGCTGCAAAGGAAACCAGGAGAAAAAGCAAACCTTAACTGTTTGCCAGTGAGAGAGGACAAGTAAGCAGCAGGTGAACCAGGGTGGTAAGGGCTGCGGATGTGGGATGGGCCGGCATCATCTAGGAGGACTCTGCCAGCTTCTTCAGGGCTTGTGGGCTAACATGTAATGGGGGCTTTTATAGAAACCTGGGGACTTCAAGGGGGAAGGGAAAGAATGTGGACTCATAAGATTTCAGTTCAAGTTACAGTGATAAGACACCGGAAGTAGAATGGCTTTCTTTAGTTGAAAAGT